ATACAATATCCAAGCCTGTTTTATCCTAAACCAAACTTATTTGAATCCAGGTCTCAGAGTGGAGGTTTCTGGATAGCAGAGCTGATTTTACCAAGTGGGAGCAAACCAACCTGATCCCCCATCCAAACAAGGGTTTTTACCATTTTCATGCTCCAGACCGAAGTATCTGTTTATTCGGGGTGAAACAATCCATTGAACTGTACGACACACACTGTGCATGGAACAATACGGATTTTTAAAATTTATTTTATCAGCTTGTCTTCTGAAGATGCTCTGTGTTGAAGGATCAGTGGATCTGTGTTCAACTACTCCACCTAAGCTGCATTTTTGAGCTCAGATCCTCTGAGAAACTTGCTGTTTTCAGCAACATCTCATTTAAAACTGAACTTTTGAGGTTAAACAAATGTTCAGAATTGTGAGACCAAAGTATTGAACCGAAATGTGTTGTGAATTTTCTGTATTGTTGCACCTCTAACGTTTGTGTGTCTCATTGAAAGATAAAACTGAAAAAGCTAACTGTGTGACCTGGCATTAGTTTTTTTTCTGTGTTCATTCATCAAACATCACACACCTCATCTTACAACCTCTCCCACTCCCCCCTGAAGGCAGTTAAGCACACCCCCAGTCACCAACTAAGATAGTTTTTTGTCAAAAAACAATCATTTTAACGCGGCACAATGGTTTGTCATTTTCTATCTGGCAACCCTNTCTCTGCACGGCCCTGCAGTGGAACCAGTTGACTTGGTTGAGTCAGTTCAACACTTCAGTTTTTATAAACAAGTCCTGAGTTTGTATTCATAATATTTTTAAATTGTAATGAGTAACTAAGTGTGAAATTCCTCCTTCTGCCAAACTGTTTGATAAGTTATCAAGTGTTATTAAAACATATCAGCTCAAATTAAATTTCAAATAAATAACCGTGATAAAAAAAAGTGTTTCAAATATAAAAAATAACACAAACCAGAGGAGTAAAGTTCTGTCTCGTTTTTTTACGTTGTGTCTCCACAATGTGAACTTTTTCTGTCCAAGCCAGCAGTTAGTCTGTTGTCTGTTTGCAGGAGGAAACTGAGTCATTATTATTTAGTAATTATTAACTTTTAGAAATTAGCCCCARTTTTCAGGCTGTAATTGGATTTTCAGAGTGATGCCCTTGTGTGTGATTGTTGTGCGTTTGTGAATTAGGAGTTGTGACAGTTCACATCTGTCTCCCTGCCTCCGTATCTCTTCCTCAGACTCACAAACACATTTGAACTTGCCCCCCCCCCCCAAACCCACCCCCGCGTCCTCGACCACGGGGGGGCATACACCTGTGTGCTCGTTTGTGTGTCTGTGTGCGTTCACAGGCAGGAGATGCAGTTTGTGTGTATCCAGGGCACATTGTCTGGACGGGAAAAAATGAGAATGGATGAGATTGTAATTACTGAATGGAGATATCCACACAGTGTGAAATTAGAAAAGGCTGGGCAGAAACCTCCCACGGGCAGCGCCAGTGAGGAGAGAGCGGTTGTCATGGTGATAGGTGGATTCAAACCTTTAGGGAAGGAGGTGCGAGTGTGAGTCTGCCCCGTGTGTGTGTGTGTGTGGGTGCAATGTGTTTGCGTTGGGCTGTTTTTGTGCACGAGGAGAGAAAAGTTGCAGTGACCTTGACGAAGTCTCACACAATGTTTTCTTTTTTTATTTTTTATTTTCGTCCATTCATGTGCAAACTGAGCTGTAGATCCAGTTCTTCCTTCAGTAATTTACACTTTTTCAGAGATTTAGCTTTTTTTCTGTGTTCGACGTCCTTTAAAAACCTTCATAACTTTCATAACAGGGGCCGGGGACAGTTGCAACATTGTTTGGGGGTGGTTACWACATATTATTAATACAATATATTCACTGTAAATACATGTTTCATTATTTTCATATTTATATTATTGCTAAATTAATAAAAACTTTAAGTTAGGATATTACAGTGTTATTCATTTATTCTTTTTGATCAAATAATGATTATAGATTAGCCTTGATGAGTAGACCTTATATACAGATGTCAAAGACTCTAATTGATATAAAATACAGTTGACTTTTAGACACAAGGATAACTGAACAATTTGTGAGTTAATTAACTTTAGTTTTGCCTGTTGTCACTGTACGCCTACATTATGTAACATTTACATTAAACAAACTGGGATTTTAAAACCATTGTTGAAAACAACAACTGTAGAAAATACATCTTAAACACTTTTATGTTTTAAACTATAAAACTGTCATGAATACCCAACACCCTTTTAAGTGTAAACTTAATTTCAACATGTTAATCTCATCTGTATGTGTATGGAGGACCAAACCTATCATTATTGGAAATAAATGTATAAATATATAACTGGCGTATTAAAATAAATTATAG